GTCTGCAGGAAAGTTTAGATGGTATTTTCTTTTAATCTCATCTCTCCATAATGTATATTACAGTACTGTATATCACGGTAACCATGGAAACGCTGTGTCTGCTGCTGCATGAGCGCCTCCTGCTGTCAGAGAGTGATACTGCGTCTCATTCAGAGCTTCTGCGGTTTCTGACATGATTTCACAAGACTAAAGTCAGACCTGTTTTACTTCATTCTGCTTTTGCTTAAAATTTGGATTTGAATCTAATTTAAATTAAAAACTTGCATATGCAGCATGTGTGTGTGTGTGTGTGTGTGAATGTGATCATCAGTCATCGGCTGACCTTCTCCAGCGGTTTCCCGACACGAGACCCGATCAGCTTCCAGTCATTCAGCAGCTCCTCGAGCCGGGATATGAACCTGCACACACACACACACACACACACACACACACACACACGCCTGCACACATACCCTTACTCAGGCAGCCCTGCAGAGTGCTTCTCAATTATTCACACGCACTCACACACACACACACACACACACACACACACACACACACACACACTCACACACACTCACACACACACACGCGCACGCGCACGCACTCGCATGCACGCACACACACTCACACGCTCTCTCTCACACGCGCGCACACACACACACAAGCACACACTCACACGCACTCACACACGCACATCTGTGAGCTCCCTGACAGACTAACGCTAAACACAGACTCACAACCAGACGAAGACGCAGTTTAACAGAGTGTGTGCTTGTGCTTTACAGCATCTCTGTGTCGTCACATCAGCAGTCCATCACACAGAAACATCACGATCACTGATGAACTAGCACACTAACCCTGGCCTGAAGAAGGGTTTACAGTCAGAAAACTGAACTGAAAGCTAATAAATCACCATAGATTAGCTATTTCACATGTGTTTCCACCATCTGTCCCTGAACTGGAGCTTTATGTTCATATTCATGATGAAAACAGCAGTAAATCATCAGTAAAACAGATGTTAGGAGTGTGTTTGTTTGTGTACCTCTCCCACTCGGACGCGGTGGTGAAGTCAGTGATCTCAAACACTTCAGACTCGGGCTGAAACACAAACCAGCGACTCTGATTACTGAGGACACGTGACAGTTAAAGCATATACAGCTCAAATAACTGCGTGTGCTTATATGAAGATAATCATGATGCGCATTTACACACTAAACTCACATCACTGTCCGCCGCCATCTTGGCTCTCTATTTATTCCTGTCCTGGTGCATTGTGGGAAATGACGTACCGCCGTGCGGCGCTGCAAGGCAAGGCAAGTTTATTTGTATAGCACATTTCATACACAATGGTAATTCAAAGTGCTTTACATAAAAGAAAAGAAAAAAATAATAATAATCACAACAATAAAACAAGGAATTTAAAAACATTGAAAATGATTAAAACAATTGATTTAAGAAGTTTAAAATGAATTTAAGAAAACGATTATACATAAAATATAGTGCAATCAGTTCGGACATAGCACAGTGCTCATTCAATGAATGCACAGCTAAACAGATGAGTTTTGAGTCTGCATTTAAATGTGACTAATGTTTTAGCACATCTGATCTCTTCTGGAAGCTGATTCCAACTGCGGGCGCCATAATAACTAAAAGCAGACTCCCCTTGTTTTGGGTGAACCCTTGGTATTTCTAACTGACTTGATCCTAATGATCTGAGTGGTCTGTTAGGTTTATATTCAGTGAACATATCTGCTATGTATTTAGGTCCTAGGCCATTGAGTGACTTATAAACGAGTAAAAGTACTTTAAAATCAATCCTAAATATAACTGGAAGCCAGTGTAAGGACCTGAGGACTGGTGTAATATGCTCAGATTTTCTGGTTCTAGTCAGAATTCTGGCAGCAGCGTTCTGGATGAGCTGCAGCTGTCTAATGGTCTTCTTGGGAAGGCCGGTGAGGAGACCATTACAATAGTCCACCCTGCTAGTGATAAAGGCATGCTGAGTCTTGGAGCTGTTCTGATACGTCACAGTCTGTCTGTGATGAGCTCTGTGGGAAGGGCTCAGCCGGGATGGTGTCCATGAGCAGTGCTTGTTGTGGCTGCGTGGTGTTATCAGTGTCCTTGCTGCGTCTGTGAAGATCTGTCAAATCAAATTAAATTAAATTAAATCTGTAGAAACAATGAGAGCACTATGCTAATATGCTGTTCTGATTCGAGCCAATGTATTAAAATAATAGATACATATTTTTTTGGCTTATATTTATATTTTTTGGTTTATATTTTATACTTCTTGGCTTATATTTATATTTTTTAGTTTATATTTTATACTTCTTGGCTTATATTTATATTTTTATACCTTTCCTTTTTTATTTTATGCATTGCTTTCCTTTGTTTGCAATAAATATATTGGGATTAATATTACATTCAAAATTAAGATTTCCTGACAAAACTACAGTAAACTACAGTCATCCTTTACTTCATATAATAACGTCTATTCGTTTTGTTCGAATATGAGAACACATTTCTAACACCGGATGTGCTGCGCCTCAAGATTAAACTACATTTCCCAGAGTTCCTCGGCTCGAACTGCTTCCGTGTTCCGAGCGCAGCTTCCGGCAGCTGTGAGTTGTCGAATCTTTCGGAAGCGCAGCAGCAGAGCTTCATCCTCCTCATCTTCATCATGCGCTGGTTCGAGGGCTCGATCCCGGCGGCCATCGCGGCAGCTAAAGAGCGCAGATGCGTGTTTGTGGTGGTGATCACAGGTACATCATCATCATCATCGTCACACTCTCCTCAGGCCCGTGTTTAGATGAGTTTAATGAGTCAACAGTCTTCATCCGCGCGGTCATTATAATATTTCATAATTGCGTGTGAGTGTGTGTCAGATCCAGTGTGTCTCTGATTCAGTGACTGATGTGTGTGTCTCTCTTGCTCCTGCAGTGAAGCGTGTGTCCAGTTCTCTCAGATCTGTATCCTTTGCTGCTGTTCTGAGGAGGAATGTTGACTGTGATGCTCTGAGGGTGCAGGAGATGTCACTCATGCCTGTATGTGGAATAACACACTGCCTGCTTTATATAACAGGGGTTTTAATCTTTCAGATGCCATGGACAATCATTCTCATTCTTATACATTCACTATAGTATTCACTATACTGTTAGATGTATTTATTTATTTATATCAGTTGTTTATTTTAATTTATATAATCACATTTTTCATTTAGTTGTTACATTTTTAGCACTCTTTTTTTGATCTAAACGCCGATAGCTTTAGAGGCACACAGTCTGAAGGAAGTGTTTATGGTGTTCAGAAGGGTTTAGTGTAGCTGGGATTGTCTCTTTAACTCTGAGCTGGTCCAGATCCGGTGGTGTGCATCCCGTCCAGCTTCTTCATCGGAGAGAACGGCGTTCCTCTGGAGGTGATCGCAGGCAGCGTGACGGAGGACGAGCTCCAGCGCAGGATCAGCAGAGTCACGCAGGTCAGCAGATGCTACTCTGACGCTAACACTCGCTCGTTCAGCTAAACATTAGTTTGACAGTCGTATTAGTGGCACAGAACTGATTGAGTGAATGTTTTGAGACTCTGGAACCCAAGTGAGTTTAGTTAGTGTGCTGTAGGAGCACAGCTGTAGTTATTTAACAGATCTTTGACATGCGTGTGGCGTCAGTGTGTGCTTTGCTCGCTGTGTTGTGCTTCTGTTGTCAGAGCCGCGTCTGACCGTTCTGGCGCACACACACATGATGCATTAAATGAACAATACCTGCAATAAAATAAGCAATAATCCAACAGTATTTTTTGTAATAATGTAGCAGTAGCCTTATTTTTTTAAATAAAACGTCGACATGTTTTATTAAGTCACTGTATATTAAATATATGAAATTATTGTTTAGTTTTGGCTCCTTGCCACTGTTGCCTTTGGCTTGCTTAGTAGGGGACACTTAATTTCTGACTTGATTGCACAGAAACGATTGGAAGAGAGCTGATGACATCACTGAATCATCAATGAACTGACTTTAGCTGAAAAACTGACTGTTTTCTATTGTGCTCTTGCAGTATCAGCACGTTTTAACACTGTAAAGCTGCTGCGACACGATCTGTATAAAGCGCTGTAGAAATAAAGCTGACTTGACTTTATTTAACATTCTAGGTAAATTAAATTAATTACCAAACAATAATCACAATCATTTGTTTGTTTAGATACAAAGTATGAATATAGTAAATCTTGCCATATAATTCTGTTATAAAATAAAGGCCTTTATAAGATTATTTATATTTCATGAGATAGATTGGAACGCAATCTAGATATTACGGAACGCAACACTTCATCATGTTTTCTGTTTAAAATTTGGTTATTATCTAACTCAATACTTCACGTTATTTCATTTATTAAATACATGATTTACACAAAATATTTGCATTTTTGATTGCCGTTTTTCTGGTAACATTTTTAAAGTTAGATTTTTCTTATGCTAATATTCTGTTGCTTAAATGCTTCAGTTAACATGTTAACGCTGGTTTCTCTCTCTCACACACACACACTCTCACACACTCACTCACACACACACACACACACACACACACACACACACACTCTCTCTCACACACCCCCACACACACTCTCTCACACACTCACACACTCTTCTGTCCAGATGCACACGCAGCAGATGGAAGGCGCACAGATGAACGCAGAGGGAGCTGATCACGGCTCCGCCTCGTCTAAAGGTGACGACACACCTGCTCTGATTGGCTGCAGGATGGTTTGGTCACGTCTGTGTTTGCATGTAGTTTCAGTCGTGATGTGCACTGACGCTCTGCTTCAGGAGTCGTTAACATGCAAATGAGAGAGATTTCCATGTTCTGAGTTTCATTGAGCACTGGACGGATTCCTCTGTTCCCCAGAATCCCTGTCTGTGCCGCTGGAGGAAGACCGAGCGTCGGGTCACGTGACTCCAGCTGAAGATGAAGGCCTGCCGTCAGAAGACCAGGCCCAGGATGACAAGGTGGAGAGGTGAGCGGAGCATTTAACTACACAGCTTCTGTAGAGCTGGACTGACACTAATAGATGATAAAAAAAACCAATTTTAAAGCACAGATTGAACAGAAAACACGGCAGAAATGAGCAGAGCATCCAAATCAATGTGCAGATCATTTCACAGATATACAGTCGAGTGCATAAGTTTGCACCCCCATAGAATCTGCAAAATATTGTCAGTCTGTTTGTGTTTTTTCTTGCCCTGCTGTATCTGTTAGTCTGAGTAGTCCACAAGACACAGTAATGACGCTGTTCAGACTGCGTGTGCTTTCTGGATGATCCACGGCTGTTTGTGTGTTTGTCCTGAGCAGTGAAGCTGTTCTTCAGGAAAATCCTGCAGCTGCTGTATGATGATGAGATCACAGACACACAAACAAAACTCTGAGTGTCATCTTTCACAGATCTGATGCTAACATACCTATCAGATTTAGTGACGAGTTCTTCCTTAAAGGGGTGGTTCATTGCGATTTCACTTTTTTAACGTTAGTGTGTAATGCTGCTGTTTGAGCATAAACAATATCTGCAAAGTTACGAAGCTGAAAGTTCAATGCAAACGGAGATATCGTCTTTTAAAATTCTGGCAGTTTAATGCCTACAAAAACGGCTGGTAGGGACTACAACGAGTTACTTCCTGGGTTCGTGACATCACAAACCCAGATAAACCCCGCCCTCGGGAAAAGGCAGCAAAGGGGGCGAGGCCATGCTGCGCTGCTTTAGAGAAGAGGAAGAGAAAACTAGAGGTGCCCGTAAAAATCTATTCATATATGAATCATGATTCTGTCTTCTAAAGATTTTAATGGATTCACAAGTTTCAAAATCAATGTTCAAAAGCAGCGGTTCTTAATACTGTTTCTCGCGTCCCCCTGCTCTACATCTCTCTCTCTCTCTCTCTCTCATTCAGCTCAGCTCCAACAATGAACTGTTCCAATTATACACTTATTTTCATATAGCTATGAGAAGCATTAAGCATGGACGTGCGTGCAGTTAGACGCGCACTAGAGGCGGTTTAGCCAATCACAACACACTGGGCTAGCTAACCAATCAGAGCCCATCGCCTATTTCTGAGGGAGGGGCTTCATAAAAGAAGGAAATGATCAGCGTGTTTCTCAGAGAAGGGACAGAGCGGTGAAGAATAAAGGTAAATTATGTGAAAAATAATGCGTTTTTAAAAAAACGACGCATTAACACATGTTAGACTGCACCCCATAAACACAGCCTAGAAAACAACCACTGAACCACCGCTTTAAAAACATTCTTTGAAGGCGACTGATATAAAGCATCCTCACCTCAGTGAAGTCTTTGTGTTGTTTTGCAGTGCAAAAATCCTAATTCTTAAATCAAGATACATTTGCTTGAGAAACAAAAGGACATCAGATATTAAGTCTTGTTTTCTGAGAAATGTCTCAAAATTGTGGTCAGAAAAATCAACTTAATTTAAAGCGAAACGATTCTATTTTTCTGACCCCATTGGCAGATATTTGTTCTTTTTTTTTAATCAAACACACACAAACTCACTAAATTTTTCAGAAAGCAAGACCTAATGTCTTCAGTCATTGTGCTTCTCCAGTAAACATATCCTGATTTAAGAATCTTTAGATATTTGTGCTAAACTACAGAGGAACACAGTTTGGCTGGTAACTTTAGCAAAACGTGCATTTTCATTTTTCATGATGTATCTGTTTTTATTCATTTTCTTTTGTAGATTAACAAAGAAGCTGGAGGAAAGACGTGAGCAGAAGAAGAAAGCAGAAGAAGAGGTAATTCTGTCTTAACATCCATGTCCACTAGAGAATGAAGAACACGTATGACGTCTGTCTCACAGGTGCAGCTGAAGAAGGAGGTGGAGAGGCGTAAGACGGGGAAGGAGATGCTGGACTTCAAGAAGAAGCAGGAGGAGGAGAAGACCAAGCGTCTGCTGGAGGAGAGGAGTCGAGAGAAGGCCGAGGAGCGAGCGGCTAGAGAGCGGGTCAAGCAGCAGATCGCTCTGGTACTCCTCACACTGTCAGACGCTGAGAGCGCGTTATACAGTGATCATCACAGACATTCACTGTACAACACGACCTCGAGTGCTTTCATGCTAAACATGTTCATGATAACCGTAGAAGATCTCATGCTTTCGTCCGCAGGACCGCGCTGACAGAGCGGCCCGTTACGCTCAGACCCAGCAGGACTCGGAGGCGACCCAACTAGCAGCGCTGCAGGCCAAGAGAGACGCCGAGAGAGACGGCGCGCAGCGAGAGAGGAGGTGACACACTGCTGAACATCAAACAGCTGTTCAGAACCTTTAGGATTGTGTGCATTGTGCCATTTGTGACCATTTATCTCCGTTCCTCCCTGGAGCTTAATACCCTTATCTACTTCAGGGTCGTGTAGCTCTTATCAGGTACTGTTCCCAAAACACAGAGAATGAGTGCAGCTTCTCAGAGAGAGAAAAGGAGAGAAGCTCAGACCCTATTCAGCTTTATTCTTTAACGTACAGACATAGAAAACAACCTAAATGTTGCGAGAGGCCCTGCTGACCTCTGTGACCTGAGAGGAGTGAACAGAAGTTTAACATATGGAGAGGCCAGGAAAAACACATTACAATAACATCATACACTTTAGTGTCTACTACTAGTATATGGTAACTCATAACTTTATTCAATCAACTAAAACATAAGAGGTTAAATACTGATTAATAACTGGATTGATTATCACTCCGAAGGATATATGTATGAAATATATAAATATAAAAAAAACAACGTGGATCCAGAGTTCCACTCCTTCAAGGCGAGTTTCGAAAGTTGCTTTTGAGTATGATTTGTATTGATATTTTGTGAAATCGTAGTGTCAATGTTTTTATGCTTCTAATTTATCTTGTGAAGCACTTTGAACTGCATTCATGTATGAAAATATTATTATTGAATGAATAGGAATTATTATTGGTATTATTATTATTATTATTATTAAAATCAGACAACAAATCTTAGATACACTGAAATGAAAATTCTGGACAGAACATGTCAAAAGAGCTACAGTGTTTTTTCTCTGCATCCCTAATAAGTAATTCTAGACACTGGTTTAAAATAAATCTGCATAAATTAAGTTCAGTACAACAAATGCTACAGTTATGCACAAATACTTTACGGTAAGGATTTTTTATAGAATATGATTTTTTAAAAACCGAATTGTAAATTGTAAAAGGTTCCTGCACCGATGAGTGCATTAGCAGGCTGTGAGCTGACCGCTAGTCTTGACGATGTTTTTCTCTGCTGGTCGCAGTGCGGTTGCCAGGATACAGTTCCGTCTGCCTGACGGCTCGTCCTTCACGAACCAGTTCCCATCAGAGACGCGCCTGCTGGAGGCCCGACAGTTTGCTGCTCAGGTTGGTGTCCATAATTATATGATTTTTTTCTAGCAGTTGTCAGAAGCTCTACACCGTCGTGTGACTCTCATGAACCTTAATGTCTTCATGCAGGAGGTTGGGAACCGATACGGTCAGTTTTCACTGGCCACCATGTTCCCCAGGAGAGAGTTTACAGCTGAAGATCTGGAGAAATCACTGCTGGAGCTGGAACTGACCCCCAGCGCCTCCATCGTACTGCTTCCTGTGAGACACACACTCTCTCACACACACATACACACACTTGCAAACTCACTCATACACACTCGCACACCAGTTCACATAGTCAACATGCAAACAATAACTAGTAATGTTTTTTTAACATTTGGGTTTTAAGCAAGACACTAGTGATTTATGGAGTGATAAAAAGAGAAATCCAAAATCTCCTCTGTAAAAACCTTTAATGTCAACAAAATCAAACAAGAATCATGAACCTGACTTTAATGTTGAGATTTATCTTGTCAATGTATAAAAATTAGTGCATATTCCAGTAGTTAATGCCTCATGTGCATATTTGAACATAACATTTCAGAAGCATGTAATGCAAAAGAGTGTCTTGAGTTGTTAAGTTTTAGTCGCATGAATGCTCTCCTGTGATTGGTCCCTGCAGCAGTCCAGCCGCCCGTCCAACACTGTGGTGCACTCGTCTGCGGGCGGCGGCGTCTGGGCCATGCTGGGGTCGCTGCTGTACCCGCTGCTGGCCGTCTGGAGGTTCATCAGCGGCTTCCTGTTCAGCAGCCCTCCTCCACCTGCTGCTGCCCAGAACCAACACGCGACAAACGCGTACGGCTCCAGCGCTGCCGCAGAACCAAAGAGGTACGTCTGTGTGTCTGTGACCTCACTGTGATTTCAGTTACCTGACTGTAACCCACTGTTACTCCACCGTGACCTCACTGTTACTCCACCGTGACCTCACTGTTACTCCATCTTGACCTCACTGTTACTCCACCGTGACATCACCATGACCTCACTGTTACTCCACCGTCACCTCACTGTTACTCCATCTTGACCTCACTGTTACTCCTCCGTGACCTCACTGTTACTCCTCCGTGACCTCACTGTTACTCCTCCGTGACCTCACTGTTACTCCTCCGTGACCTCACTGTTACTCCTCCGTGACCTCACTGTTACTCCTCCGTGACCTCACTGTTACTCCTCCGTGACCTCACTGTTACTCCTCCGTGACCTCACTGTTACTCCTCCGTGACCTCACTGTTACTCCTCCGTGACCTCACTGTTACTCCTCCGTGACCTCACTGTTACTCCTCCGTGACCTCACTGTTACTCCTCCGTGACCTCACTGTTACTCCTCCGTGACCTCACTGTTACTCCTCCGTGACCTCACTGTTACTCCTCCGTGACCTCACTGTTACTCCTCCGTGACCTCACTGTTACTCCTCCGTGACCTCACTGTTACTCCTCCGTGACCTCACTGTTACTCCTCCGTGACCTCACTGTTACTCCTCCGTGACCTCACTGTTACTCCTCCGTGACCTCACTGTTACTCCTCCGTGACCTCACTGTTACTCCTCCGTGACCTCACTGTTACTCCTCCGTGACCTCACTGTTACTCCTCCGTGACCTCACTGTTACTCCTCCGTGACCTCACTGTTACTCCTCCGTGACCTCACTGTTACTCCTCCGTGACCTCACTGTTACTCCTCCGTGACCTCACTGTTACTCCTCCGTGACCTCACTGTTACTCCTCCGTGACCTCACTGTTACTCCTCCGTGACCTCACTGTTACTCCTCCGTGACCTCACTGTTACTCCTCCGTGACCTCACTGTTACTCCTCCGTGACCTCACTGTTACTCCTCCGTGACCTCACTGTTACTCCACCGTGACCTCCCCATGACCTCACTGTTACTCCACCGTCACCTCACTGTTACTCCACAGTGACCTCACCATGACCTCACTGTTACTCCACCGTCACCTCACTGTTACTCCACCGTGACCTCACTGTTACTCCACCGTGACCTCACCGTTACTTCACCGTGACCTCACCGTTACTCCACCGTGACCTCACCATGACCTCACTGTTACTCCACCGTGACCTCACTGTTACTCCACCATCACCTCACTGTTACTCCACCGTGACATCACCGTGACCTCACCGTTACTCCACCGTGACATCACTGTTACTTCACTGTGAAACAAATGTCAAATTCCTCCCTCAGAGATCAGACCTATTATTAATCGTTATATATTAAATAAGTGGCAAGAAGAGTGGGATACATGAACAAATAATAAATTACATGAAATACTTCCAGAAATTTCAAACAGATTTTTAATCTCTTTTAAAACTATATTAGATCAAGTGGTATTTACCAGATGTCGCATAGGTTATACAAGACTGACTCGTGCAGTTTTGCTTAAAGGTGAAGACCCTACTCAATGTATGCTTTGCAAGGTTCCCCTTTCTGTTAAACATATTTTATTGGACTGTCCAGCTTTTAATGTACAGAGAAAACTCACTTAAAGAGTTATTTAGTAAAATTTTGCCAGGAAAAGTTTGAATTTTTATCACGTTAATGTAAAACATCTTGTGTGATATAACTTGTGTTTGTTTGTTTGCTGGTTTTTATTGTATTTGTTGTACTTGTATTTTTTAAATTGTTTTTGCCACGAAAATAGCCTTTGATGCTGACATGGCATTAAATGATTATATACTATACTATACTTCACTGTGACTGTAACTTCACTGCAGCCTCACAAACTTCATTTTACCAGACACTGTTTGGTGTCAGGTTATTGTGTGTAAGTGAGATACAGATACAGAGTTTCTGCTCAATTCTGCTGGTTTTGCTGTTTTCCGCTCCAGAGATGCGGTTCGTAAGAGGGTTCTTGAGAAGAGGCCTGAGGACTTCAAGAAAGATGGGAAAATATACCGGCTACGGACTCAAGAAGACAAAGAGGACGACAACAACACGTGGAATGGGAACTCCACGCAGCAGATGTAGCGCAGCGAGCCTCTTTGCTTTGAGTGTGTGTCAGTCTTAACTGTATTTGTTGTACTTGTATTTTTTAAATTGTTTTTGCCACGAAAATAGCCTTTGATGCTGACATGGCATTAAATGATTATATACTATACTATACTTCACTGTGACTGTAACTTCACTGCAGCCTCACAAACTTCATTTTACCAGACACTGTTTGGTGTCAGGTTATTGTGTGTAAGTGAGATACAGATACAGAGTTTCTGCTCAATTCTGCTGGTTTTGCTGTTTTCCGCTCCAGAGATGCGGTTCGTAAGAGGGTTCTTGAGAAGAGGCCTGAGGACTTCAAGAAAGATGGGATTGACCTCACTGTTACTCCACCGTGACATCACCATGACCTCACTGTTACTCCACCGTGACCTCACTGTTACTCCACCGTGACATCACCATGACCTCACTCTGTTACTCCACCTTGACTTCACTGTTACTCCACCTTGACCTCACTGTTACTCCACCGTGACCTCACTGTTACTCCACCGTGACCTCGC